AGATGGGAGATGATCAGATGATGTCACTGTAGGAAATCCTCATGGGTTGCTGCAGCCTCAGAGGTTTTTAGTAAGTCTGAAGTTCAGCTGAGATGATGGAGTGATGAAGAGAAGAAGGTTTCTGAACTCCTGTAAAAGACAACATCTGGGTTTAAATGTATAATTAGAACTGAATGTACACAGCCAAAAAGAAACATGCACATCTGTTCAAATAAATTTAATGCTTACTCTCTTTTGTGACTCCTAACATTCTTTTTTGGTGAAAATGTATTCCACAGACGTCCTTCAAAATTATAAATGTAGTGGAAACATAGATGTAAAAAATAAAAAAAACATAAAAAGGGGAGAAACTTAAAAACTTGACATTAAATTGTTTTATAGATGCAATGCAGGAAATCATTGAAAAAAACAACAACTTTTGTTAGAAATGTTTAACACTTCCATCATACAAATTAAAATAAAATAAGAAAAACTATATATATATATATATATATATATATATATATATATATATATATATATATATATATATATATATATATATAAACATTAAAAGGAAAATACCTCTTGGACCCCTAAATTATCAGTTTGTGCTCTAAAAAAAAAACAACAACCTTTAAATCCTTGTTCTTAGCAAGGCCTTCTAATAAAACCAAAGCAGCCATGCTTTCGCTCAATTGCCAGACAGCAGTATTTATTCAATGCACCTACAATAATTAAGGAGCAAGCTCCATGAAATTGTCTGTTTAGTTTTATCTTCTGTCACCTTCTTTTCCATTTCCACTTCACCATATCAGACCCAAATTGTTCTGGGATTGTGTTTACACTTGGTGTAAAGACTGAATCAGATGCAGACCTTCTGTAAGTATCACATTGTGTGTAGAAAAACGAGCTGAAAGGATGTTTCTGTTAGTATAGGCACCATAGCTTATTCTGGCCCAATGCTTTTCTGTGAAAACTGAAAATAATGGCTGCTTATGTGATGCTAACAGTTAGACATGTCCATTTTTATAAAGAGCTATGCTTTAAACAAAATATATTGAAACTGATAAACTAACATTTGGATATTTAAGATGGGGTATTTGCATTAAAAAGCCAACAGCAAACAATTCAAGTCAAGGAAATAATACTCTAAACTGGGAAAGTAAATAAGCAAACATGGGCAACTGAACCACTTACATTATTCATTATTTCATTCTGATTTTACAAGATTTATTTTGTTTTCTCTCCTTCATATTTGCTGGTGTGTTTAGAGTTCTTCAGCTTCCTCCTTTCCTTTAGATTTTACTTCGAGGAACTTTCTTCCCATACTCAAGCCTCAGCTGACTGCTGACTGAAGGATCAAAGAACCTGCAGTGTGTAACTAAATAAAAAGAAACACTTTTCAGTTAAAACTGAGCTGGCAGTTGGAAGTTAAAGGATGATGATATAATCACAGTATGGCTGATATTTGTGCACTTCTGTCAAGCTGTCTCATGGCTTTACCCACTGGATTAGGTTGTTGACTGAAAACCCAATATTGGCCCATTTAACCTTGGATCTCAGCTGCCAATTACTTTTCATTGCACTGCAAATGGGTATTAGAGTAAAACGCAGTCCTGCATTATGCATTAAAATAAAGTCTGAATGCTGAAATAGACACTTCATAAACTTCACAAGCATCCCTGTTTGTAAATGATGTGGCACTTTGTAGCATTGCAGTCCAGAAGCAAATGAAGTGGTGTTTTGTTGTGCTCTGTGTCGTGAAAGGTACTAAAAATGCTGACAACAGCATTTTTGGGGGTATTTGTATGAAACCCAATTTTCTGTTGAGTTCATTAGCAATGTGTTATATGTACATTCAGATTACCCTGCCTTGGCAATGAATTTGATTTTTGCCCAACTAAAACAAAGGTCTTAGGTTCATTTAGCCTCAATGACACCTTGCCTGACTGTTGACTGCAGTTCCGAGAGATAATTCAAGAAGTCCTCAGACACCACAGTACTTCTAGGATTTTATCCAAAATGTTTTACAGAACTTCTTGCATGTCCTGGAACTTCTTTGTGTGATCCGAATCCTATTCATATTCACCACCTATCCAGAGCATTTAGTCTCTACTGTTGGTACTTCACACATTAGCATCCAGACTTATTATCATGCCCAAAGGTGGTACCGTGGATCAAAGGCAAAGGATGTACTGTTTAATATTTCTGCCTCATTACAGTAGAGGGGCTTTTGATTATGTGCCTTTGCATGCCTTTGTCAATTTGATGCAGTGATGTCCTTTGCTGTTCAGCAGGAAGTACAATATTACTAGCAACTCATCACGTCTGGATTGTGAAAGCAGACGATGCAACTAACTAAAGTTTCTTAAAAATAGTGCATGTATTTTAATTGATCTCTGTCTGACTTTAGATCATTTGTTCCTAATTTGGGAAAGGCGCTTAACTCTTTAAATTTTCCATTTAACATATTTTTTGTTGTTGACCCCAAGTTAGCAGAATGAGGAAGAGAGAGTCAGGTGTTCAAAAGTGCTTTTGTTTACAGGTGTAGATATCTACAGGGATGGAAGGGAAGAAAAGGGACACGGTGAGTATTTTGTAAATCGGCAGGTTGCTTGAATAATGAATATTAGTTTGAAAACTTTCTTACGAATGTTTGTACTGTAGATGGAGTCGGAGAGAAGGGAGAGAACGAGGTCCTAGGTTTCCACTGAGGTGAAGGTGATCCAGAGGAGGTGAGTGGCATTGATAGTTTTCTGATCTAGGTTGATGTTTGGTGATTGTAGGAACAAGATGATCCCAGGGCGAAGACATAGAGGACAAGGAGGTATTGGAAGACTCAAGGAAGCAGGACTTGGAAGTCACTAAATCACAAAGGTTATTTGTTTTAATACAACTTTCATGTAATTTTCTGTATAGTATAAAAAAGTGTAACCTATATTTAGCTTCAACAGTCAGCATCCTAATAAATATAGCTCCTTCAGCAGCTGTAAAGAAAGTGCTACGTTTAAATGCCTACAATATTCGTATTGCCTTGTGGCTTTACAGCAAAGAGCACTGACTAATTTAATCTGAATCCAGTCTTCCACTTAAGAGAGCACAACATGCTGTCAGGGAGCGGTCCAATCCAACCCCATGTCAGTGTTATGCATATGAGCCCATTATCTGCTCATTCCCTGGACTGTGAGGACACATCTTTGGTGCTGGACTCTGAGGTACACTTCTGCTCATCTGTAAGAACCAGATCAACCTATCCAGGTGGCTATATCTCAGTCCTATATGCTCGAGTGATTATAGAAAGAACCTCAGGCAAGCATGAAGGTTGTTATTGTTTACCATGGATGAATAAACCGAGTGATGAGATGGGCTGGCTGACTGATGGCACAAGAACTACCCTGGTGTCAATGCATTGATTCACTCACACGCTGAAGCCAATGAAGCTGATAGTGCCGTGATCAACCCCCCTCCTTCCTAAGCACAAAACAATCAATTACTCAGGTACAGGAAAGTAAATACTGCCTTTGCCTGTGTCTTCTTTTCATATGGGGGGATTATGGAGTGTTCAGACATTTTATTTGTGCCATATTACCACTTATTTTCTGCAGATAATAACATCCACCTGTTGGGTCATGCAGTAGATAATAACTATTGACAGCATGAGCTTAAGGACTTGTGTTAATACCCATCGCAATTATCTGATGAAGAGCTCTCACTAAACTTTGTCTTTAATGGGAAAAAAACAGGGCCAAAGGTGTATAGAACAAAACCTGCAGATATTTTTCTCCTTTTATTTCTCTACGCCTGAGTGCTCTGTTCTCGCACTGAAGAAATCAGTTTGACAGTTTTGAGTAAAGCCTGTTGGTGGTGATTAGTTTGCTCACTTCACTGCACCATTTTTTTTTATTGTTACATCCTTCACATTTCAAGTGATACTCAACTATTACGGTCAAATGAAAAAAATATAGCAGTTTTTTTTTTTCCAAGTCGACCAATTAAAGATTCATCAAGCCACATGCTGGGATAATTCCCAATGCAATAGCGTTATTTAGAGCACCGCATACAGGAGAGACAAGAATAACTACATGCAGGAGAAAATGCATACAATCCACATGGATTCATTAGCTGCAACTATAAAATTACAGGTATTACTGCATTTAACATAATGAAGAGCGTAACAAGAGGTAAAAGCTGAAAAATGCCAGGTGCCATACTGTTAGGTTGAAAAGCAATTACATATAGAAACATATAGAATAGCCAGGCAGCTGTGCACAGCAGTGTCTGAGCAGGAGTTAATCTTGTTCTGAGAAACAACCAACCTTTTCACAGAAGAGCTGCCCACACTGTTGGTCATATTAAATCAATGCTGAAAAAATTGTTTCTTCACAGAGACTTTTAGTGCAATTGAGTAAGCATGTTGGCTTTTATTGTCTAAAAGGTTTATAGAACTTGTGTTCCGCTTGATAACAATAGTGTGAATGTTTATGATTCACATTATTGTGATCCATTTTTCTTCAGTACAATTTTAGACATCTTTCTTGTTCCACAATTTTTGTCATTTCAACAAATCATATATCAAACCGTTCTGGTCTTTCAAGACAATCCTGCTATGACTTTTGGTATTAGTGCAACTTGAGCTTTTTGAACTATTTAGCCTTTTCTGAAACTTTTTTTTAATAGAAAATGAATTGAGCTCATTTTACACCCTTCAAATCTTTAGATCTGTTTACAACCTTTTACTGATCTTTTCACATTTTGTATTGGTTAAGCTTCTTTCAGCTTCCTTGTGCTAACTGAAACTTTTTCCAGCAACTTTCAGCTAATTTCAGCTGTTTATTCTGCTGTTTTGTGATCCTTTTAGATTATATCTGCTAACTACAACAGTTTTGTCTTCTTCCACCTTCTTTCTGCCAGCGTGTTATCATTTCAGTTTAATGAGGATTAATCCTCACAAAGCAACTGGCCCAGAAAACATACCCAAGAAGGTGCTGAAAGACTGAGCCGATCAGCTCTGTGAGGTGATGGCTGACATTTTTAACTCCTCACTCACCTGGGCAACAGTTCCCACCTACCCGAAAAATGCCACCATCATTCCAGTCCCAAAGCGCTCTACAGCGACTGGTCTAACTGACTATCGGCCAGTAGCCCTCACCCCGATAGTCCCTAAATGCTTCAAAAAACTGGTCATGACCCACATCAAAACAACCATCAACATCAACGAAGACCCTCACCAGTATGGATACTGCGAGAATCGATCAACAGAAGATGCCATCTCCTCTGTGGTCCACACTGCTCTCACCCACCTGGAACAGAAGGACTCCTGCGTCCGTATGCTCTTTGTGGACTTCACGTCTGCCTTCAACACCATGATCCCCCAAACCCTGATGGACAAACTTTTCACACTAGGACTAAGCCCCTCCATTTGCAACTGGATCCTAGACTTTTTAACAAACAGACCACAGTCTATGAGGATCCACAACTTCTCCTCATCCACCATAACCCTCAGCAGTGGCTCCCCTCAAAGTTGTGTGCTGAGCCCCCTCCTGTTCACTCTGCTCATGTATGACTGTGCACCTGCCCATCCAGGCTGTCATATTGTTAAGTTTGCAGACGATACAGTGGTGGTGGGATGCATCACAAACAATGATGAGTCCAGCTACAGGTAGGTGGAACACCTGGAGAGCTGGTGCAGGAAGAACAACCTTCACATCAATGTGAAGAAGCTGAAGGAGATGGCCATAGACTTCAGACGGAACAAACCCCCCCCCCCCCCCCCCAAAAAATAAATAAATAAATAAATAAATAAATAAACAACATAGGAGGATCTGCAGTGGAAGTGCTCTCCAGCTACAAGTACTTGGGTGTACACCTGAATGACAACTTCAGCTGGGGCAACAACACTTCCAGTCAGATCAAGAAAGCTCATTAGTGGCTCTATTTCCTCAGGCGGCTGAGACGAGCTGGTCTGGGAAGCTCAGTCCTCACCTCCTTCTACAGGTGTGCAGTCGAGAGCATCCTGTGCTCCAGCATCAACGTGTGGCATGGAGGCTGCACAGCTGCAGAAAGAAAAGCTTTGCAGAGAGTGGTGAAGGCTGCACAGAAGACTGTTGGAGTCAGCCTCCCCACCATCACAGACATCTACACCTCCAGATGCAGGAAGAGGACCACCTGCATCATAAAGGACCCCTTTTTTTGTGCTCATTTCTGCTTCTTTCAGTCTAATTGGACAAAATGTGTTCTTTTTGTTTTTACTTTAAACTTGTTCTAACTTTTCAGCTAACTTTTTTGCATTTTTTAGCTCATTTCAGCTGTTTTCAAATAAATTCAAGATTTTTTTTGTGGTAATTTCTGCTACATTCATCCTAATTAACCTCTTTACACTCATTTCAGCTTGTTATGCTCTTTTCAGCTTATAGCTACTTGTTTTAGTTATTTCAGCTAATATTAGCTGTTTTGTGGTTCTTTTAGCTGGTTCAGCTAAATCAACATTTTTTCGCTCATTTATTTCCATTTCCTTCTGGTATGTTCTTTCTGCCTATTCAGCTAGTTTTCAGCAATGTTTTTTCTAATTTCAGCTTCTTCTTTTTTTAGCTATTATCGTAAATGCTTTGCTAATTTCTGTTCATTAAAACCCAATTCAGCAAATATGTGTTCTTCCTGCATTCTTCTTTAGGCTCGTTCTTCCTTTTCAACTAAAAGTCAGCATGCTTTTGTAGCAAAGTTCAGCTGTTTTTCAGCAAGTTCTTCAGCAATAAGCATTCACACAGGATTTTTGCAGGAAATGCAATGCAGCACAATGTCGTTACATGTGACTTTACACCCTTGTGCCAGTCAAACAGCACTTCTCATGTAAGGGTGTTTTTCATAGCAAGGATGCAGTACGCCAGCAGACCCACAAGAAAGTTGACAGGAACTTAATGTAGACTTTTGGAGGAACAATACCACACTTGCATAGGAAAACCAGATTTTTTTTTTAAAAGCATGTGAGGGTGTTTAAATAGTTTGGAGATCAAGTTTTAATTTAAAGTGTTTGCAGTTTGGTTCTGTACATTGCATTATGGAAAAACTGAGGCTGCAGGTGTGAGCCCAGGTTGCAACAGAAGGCGCATCCCCCTTAAAACTATTTCCAAATATCTTGTGCATGTTTGCTAGCTGTGGTAAGCAGCCAAAAGAAACACATTTTATTCCAATGACAGCTTAATCTTGTGCAACTTTAAAAAAGGCAAATATTTTTGATGGATTATTTTTCAGCAGGTAAGGCTGCCCTATCTACGTTGTGCTGCAACGTTTTTCATCAGCATCCTGCTAATTAAACTGTTCTTACCACAATCCTCTGAGTGATGCTTATTGCACTCTATCTTAATTTTCGGGTTTTAAACAATGACTAATGTTTGCCTGCAAACAGTGTTAATACAACTTGACTGGGCTATTTACCAGACGTAAAATACATAAAGTGATACCAAAGGGGTTTTGTTCTAATAAACATGTCTGTAAAGTCTCAAATGTCAAATGAATATGAACGGGAAAGTTGTTTTTATTTTAAACAAGTGCTACTGTCCAATTCACCTCACAACTTTTTACCTTTTACTGACAATATTCAAAGTTAATAGCTGCTTTGGTTATGTGATAATGTTAAAGACTTGCTGGATGTGTGGGTGGTATATAATTAAAAATCTTACTAAGAGGGTTTTATTTTATTTTATTATTTTTTGTTTGTTTCATTTAATTTAATACAGTAGTGTGTGTGATGCCGATTAAAAAAGAAAATCAAACTGAACTTCATCATTCCAAATGCCACTTGAAATACTTATAAAAATGCAAATGATTACCTCTTAGGTCCTATTATTTCCTTGTGGATCTGCTAGCATGCATTTAATTCACATAAAACTAAATCACCAGAAGTAATGGATAAATATATTGAGCATTTCCCCCAACATTTGGTAACAGCAGCTGAAAACACAGCCTGCTTTGTAGGGAGCATAATAATGCCTATTAACATCGTTTTGAAATACGTGACGTGACTTGAATTCTTACAACAATCTGTGCAAAACGTATAAAATTGTATTAAATAATCAACACATTCTCTTTCACACAAACGTGCATGCAAAGCACTGCACACCTTTTGTTTATACAGATCAGAAAGCCACACTATCAGCAGTGTGTAGCAGTAAATGAGGCGGATTTCCTCTGATGTTCTTATCACCTCATCCCGCTCCTCTCCAGGGTCCACTAATGCCTCCCCCCTCACTGATGCTTGACAGAGCCGATGCAGGCTGGAATGAGATGTGCAACTGGCCCAGATATGACAGAGAAACAGACAACGCTGAGGTCTTCTGCCCAGTAGGGATGGGAGTAATTACTGACAATATTATCTCCAGCTGTGGGCTGCTTGTACTTTTTTTCTTCTACATTTTGCCTCGGAGCTTGAAGATCTGCTGGGAATTCTCTCTGTTGTTATTTGTCCCCCCTTTACATTTTTACAGTTTACTGCACGGTTGCTAAAAATGATATGCAAATTCTTAACGACGCGGCGTACATGCACGGACTTAAATTTAGCACAAAGGAATATGCAACGTCACATTCATTTCAGCCATCTGGTAAATATTTCCTCAGCACTCCGCTGTAATAAATGCATGTTATCATGCTGAAAATGATTCTGGCGTCTGCAAATTAAATGAAAAGGAGCCCTGTTAATCATTGTCTGTTACATTTTAACCTCGGGGAAATTATGTCTCAACCGCAGTTTTGTTTTCATTGTTAAAGACTTGCGAGGATGGGAATCCATTATGGGCACAGGAGAATAAATTAAATGTTCCTCGCCGTGATAAAGCATGCACAAGAAGAAAAGTAAAATAATGAGAACCAATCCCAGCATCTCATTTTAGGGTAAGGTTTGGGAACGCTAATGATCCAAAGATGACAAATGTATTTTTGTCCAAGTTTTCTGCTTTAGCAGGGGCGTTTTTCATGATGAGGAGCACCCTGTAGAGCTTATGTCAGTCATTCGGGTAAAGGCAGAAGTGTAATCAGCTTATTATGGATAGGGAGAAAGCAAGGGCTAGAAATGCTGGCAGACAATTCTTTATTCCTGCCTGTACATTTAAGCAACACAACACTGTCAGTATTAGGGCGTAACATAAATAAAATTTGCCAATTAAATTACATTTAGCTGTATTCTCAAAAAATATAGTTTGCTATATGTGCAAAGAAAGTGTTGCAAAACACAAAACGGAGTAAACAGCTTAATGAGTTTGTCATTTAAGGCTGAGACCAGATATCAGTGATTTCTATATTTCTTAATCATCACCATTTCTCTGTGAAATCTGTGCTGATCTTAGCTTATTAATAAAATGATGATGAATGTTGTTTCATGATTTTATAAAGTTGCAAATTGTGAAACATAGTCCACTACAAAATCTTTTTCCAAATGACAAAATATTTGCCAAACTATTTCCCACATATACTACTAACTTAATTTGGGAAATCGGAAATCGGCCGATACTTGCATGAGAAACCGATTTTACCGATTTTTTTTGTTTTGTTTGTTTTTAACAACAATTGTCTGAACTTCATTTATATTTCAGAGCACTACCTCATGGCCAGTTAAAACAAGTTTGTATTGTTCAAGGGTATGTTTTTCAATAAAGTAAGATTGGAAAATTGAAGGTGCACTGTGACCTTATAACACCTTGCAGTATCACTTATTAAACAAAATTGTTATCGGCCAAAATCGGAATCGGCAGGTCAGACTTTTTAGAAATCGGTGATCGGAGATCGGCTGGAAAACTGCAATCGGTGGACCCCTACTACTAACTCTTAAAACTGATAATTTTACTACATTAAAAAAAAAAACTAAACCAAAAAATAAAAATAAAATAAATAAATAAATAATAATAATAATAAAAACAACAACAATAACTTAAAAATTTATAACAAAATACTGAAATGACCTTTCAATGCCAGTAGGTGGCAATATTGTCAATATTTACAACACATCCATTACACATTGTGTAAGATGGCGCCAGTGTGTGTGGCCGTTCGTCTGTCACTCATGGTTTGGTTTGTTTTATTTCTCTGTTTTGTGCTCAGCACTAAGTCTGTGCTTGTGTACAATTGCCAGTCCCTCCTGGATATTCGACATGTTGTTGGCAATCTCAATGCCTTTGATTATGGTGGACAGAAAACTTTACCCCCGCTCCTGTCAGGAGTTCCAGCTCATCTCCTCCGGGCACCTGTGCTGCCCCTCCGGCGGAAACGTCGTCGTTACCGCGGTAAACGTGGAGGACAGCTGGTGAAACTAAAGATCTGCCTGGCCCGTTCTACGTCCATTTCTCAGACAAGAAATGGATTATTTCCGTCTTTCTCTGTGCCTTGGCGGTTTCTGGATCCTGTTGACAGCTACCTGCTACCTGTCACCGGCCTGGATGCGGGCGTTCGCCCCCACCACTCCTGCTTCTCTCGGCTCCACCGGCGTGGAGTGAACCTGCAGAGCCTGAAGACGCTGCACAGGGCCCTAGCGCCCGTCAGGTTACATGCTGTGGTTTCTGCCAGGATTGGCCTGGTGAACACCAGATCTCTGACAAACAAAACTTTCATCCTGCGGGACTTTTTCAGTTCCCGTCATTTGGATTTGCTCTGCATCACAGAGACCTGGGTTGAGGCTGATGACTCCAGTGTTTTTGTTGAACTTCTACCAGACGGCTGCTCTTATCTAAGCTCCCCTCGGATGTCAGGCCGTGGAGGAGGAACGGCAGTGGTTTATAAAAACAACTTTAAATGCAAGCAATGCTCTGCACCATCTTCATTCTCCAGCTTCGAGGTGACTTTATTTGAGGTGGGTCGCTCACACGCCGTGCTGTGCGCTGTCATCTACAGAACCCCTAAATATAATAAGGATTTCTTGAATGACTTTTCTGATTTCCTGACTGGAATAATGATAAACTATGATCGAGTGCTTATTGTTGGGGATTTTAACATACATGTATGCTGCCCAGAGAAACCACTGGTGAAGGACTTTCTCAGCCTCACTGACTCATTTAACCTGGTTCAGTGGGTGGCTGGTCCCACACATGAATATGGACACACGTTGGACCTGGTTCTCTCTCACGGCTTGTCTGTGAACGACCTGGAACTATATGATAATGTGATTTCTGACCATAGGCCTGTTTTATTTGATGTTGGTTTGTCCTGTGCTCCAGTTAAATCCTGCGCTCCTGCCCAGCGATGTAGAATTTTTAACCCTTCCACTGCTGGCCAGTTCTCTGCTGACTTTGAACAGCTCCGTGCTCCCTCTGGCTCTGCTACTGACACCGAACAGCTGAGCTCCTGGTTTGACTCCTCCTGTCAAACCATTTTGGACTGTGTAGCTCCATCTAAACTGGTGCGGCCTAAAGCCAGATCTGAACCCTGGTTTAATGAAAAAACTATTGCAGCCAGACAGGAGTGCCGCAGAGCTGAACGGAGGTGGAAAAAGGATAAACTGGAGGTTTCATTTTACATTTTAAAGGACTGTCAACGTCAGTACCAGAACACTGTTAAAGAGGCCAAAAAACAACACTTGTCAGATATTATTGTGTCCAATCATAATAATCCACGTGTCCTTTTTAAAACTATTGACTCTGTCCTGAAGGCCCCACAACCTGTCTGTCTGGAAGCCTCTACTGAACTTTGTAATGACTTCCTGCAGTTTTTTATAAATAAGGTTGTTACCACAAGGGCCCTTATTTCAGCCCCTGCTTTTGACCCCTCCTGCTTGGTCCACTGCCTGGCTGTGTTTGATAGATTTGAACCAGTGACCCTGACCCTTTTAGAGGATGTAGTCGGCCATATTAGACCATCAGGTTCTCCTCGTGACCTTGTCCCCCCTCGTCTTTTAAAAGAGGTATTTTCCAGCATCAGGCAGATGATTCTTGCCGTTATCAATAGCAGTCTGTCCTCAGGTGTTGTCCCAATAAGTTTTAAACATGCTGTGGTGCAGCCCCTGCTTAAAAAGCCTAGCCTAGACCAAACTGTCTTGGCTAATTTTAGGCCCATCTCCAAGCTGCCTTTTATTTAAAAAATTTTAGAAAAAATTGTATATTCACAGGTCAAATGTTTTCTGGATGAGCACAATATCCTGGAGGTTTTTCAGTCTGTCTTCAAAACTCACCACAGCACAGAATCAGCTCTAGTCAGAGTTTTTAATGATATTTTTATGGCTACTGATTCTGGTGAACATGTGGTTCTTGTCCTGCTCGACCTAACAGCTGCCTTTGATACCGTGGACCATAACATTTTAATATCACGCTTACAGCGCCAAGTGGGTATTTGTGGTACTGCACTGAGCTGGTTTAGGTCCTATCTGGCAGACAGAACCATGTCTGTCAACATAGCTGGGTCTGAATCCTCCACTGCTCCTCTGTGTTTTGGGGTTCCACAGGGCTCTATTTTAGGTCCCCTGCTTTTCTCCCTTTACCTGCTTCCATTGGGATCAATCCTTAGAAAGCATGGGATCTTTTTTCATTGTTACGCTGACGACAGTCAGATCTATATGCCACTTAAAAAGAAAGATGCCCCCTCAATTAGGCCACTTCTGTTGTGTCTTGAAGACATCAAAGCCTGGATGTCTTTAAACTTCTTAAATTTCAATGAAAAGAAAACAGAAGTGATGGTGTTTGATCCTAGTGGCTCTTGTGAACCTTGCCCTGTTGATCTGGGCCCTCTGGCACCACATGTAAAGAAAACTATTTCTAACTTGGGTTTTAAAATGGACAGTGATTTTAAATTAGAGTCCCAGATTGGAGCGGTGGTCAAGACCAGTTTTTATCACCTCAGACAGCTGGCTAAGGTAAAGACCATCCTTACAAAACAGCAGCTGGAAACAGTAATCCATGCCTTCGTCACCTCTCGGCTGGATTACTGTAACGCTCTTTACCTTGGAGTTAACCAGTCCTCCCTCAGACGCCTCCAGTTGGTCCAGAACGCTGCTGCTTGGCTTCTAACTGGAGTTCAAAAAAGGGAGCACATCACCCCCACTCTGGCTTCACTCCACTGGCTGCCTGTTCATTTTAGAGTTCATTTTAAGATTATTTTATTTGTTTTTAAAAGTTTAAATGGTCTTGCTCCATCCTACCTCTCTGAGCTGCTTCACCCATACTCTCCTGCTCGGTGCCTCAGATCAGCTGATCAGCTGCTCCTGGAGGTGCCGAGGTCTAAGCGGAGGCTCAGAGGGGACAGAGCTTTTTCTGTTGCTGCTCCAAGACTGTGGAATGATCTCCCTCTTCCCATCAGACAAGCCCCTTCACTGTCCAGTTTTAAAACTCTTTTAAAAACACATTTTTACTCCCTGGCTTTTAGCACACACTGAATTTGATCTGCACTGTTTTTATTACTTTTATTGATCTTAATGTTTTAACAACTGTTTTTATGTGTTTAAATGTTCTTGATTTTATATGTACAGCACTTTGTGGCAGCTGTGGTTGTTTTAAAGGGCTTTATAAATAAAGTATTATTATTATTATTATTATTATTATCTTTACATGGTGCCCATGTCCAGTGGTCACTATGCAGGGGATGAGGGGTGGGGGTGGACACCCTGGACAGGTCGCAAGTCCATCACAGGGACACAGAGAGACAAACAAGACAAACATTCACACACCTAGTGACAATTTAGAGTTATCAATCAGCCTAACATGCATGTTTTTGGTCTGTGGGAGGAAACCGGAGTACCTGAAGAAAACCCACACCTGAACAGAGAGAACATGCAAACTCCACCAAGAAATGGTCCTGGGCCAGGATTTGAACCATGTGACCTTCTTGCTGAGAGACAACAGCTCTACCAACAGAGCCATGGTGCCACCTTAACAACACATTGAAAGGTAAAAAAAAACAAAAAACATCCTGAGGTCAAAGTTTCTTGTGAATTAATTGTAGTTTGTCACGGCTCCCTATTTTATTTCAACCTTTGACCTTTTCAGTGCAGCTCAATCCCAGAGAAGAACAAACTGAAAACTGAATCGCTCCATTATTGTTTTAGCTTCTAGTGCATGAAGCAATAGTGGGCATGTGCAAACTAGGCTGTGACATAGATTTTTCTCATTGTCTTCATTTGTCAAGTCTATGATTTTACAAAAAAAACAAAAAAAACAAAACAATATTAACATGTTAGTTTATCTCCTAAACAATGCTATTTATATATGTCATAGAATTGCAAAAACAGCACAACAAGTTTATGTTGCAAAATATTTTTGTCAGTGTAGAAAGGCACTAAAGATTTTCCAGCTCCTAACTATAACAACAGCTGTTTATTACACCTAATGTTGGTTGACACTGGCTGAATATGCCCACCCCCTCAGCAAGTACAGTAACTTCAAACAAATGCACATTTACTAGATGCTGAGATCAAACAATGTATCATGTCAAATTTACTGTTTCTGATCCTTTTCTAAGACTTAAACACACTCTAAGTGGGCCCTGACAGGTATTATTAATGAGTTGCATCAACCTAAATTGATCAGAGCCTTAGAGAAGATTATCAAAAGCATTTGAGAGAGAAAGTATTGATTCTTTGGGTTGGTTGCTTAGCTATTCCTCTGAAATCTCATTAGGGATGAAGAGCCCTGCCACAGTTGGCTTTGAGCTGTGTTTACCATTTTCCACATAGAATTTTTTAATTACGAGAGCTGTCTAGCTGCCAGAATCGATAGTTAAGAATCTCAAATCAGTGAATGGGGAGAGGAAACCCTTTTCAGTTTGGAACTGGAAAAAAATGAAACGGATGGAGCGGAGTGCTTTGCACTTGGGGCCCAGATTAACGGCAGCGTCCTTCAAAACTTCACTTTTACCTGCTGTGACTGTGAAACGAAGCAAAAGCAAAAAGCGAAACAGAAAGCATGAAAGACAAAAATGCCAATGTCAACTTTATTTATATAGCACTTTTAAAAATAACAATGTTGACCAAAGTGCTTCACAAACAAGACGTCAATAAATGATGGCTATGATGCAAGTCCTTGGACATTTGGACAAGTATTTTCTTTAAACAAAAAAAGTAATTAGTGTGAAACTCTGCCATTATGGGAGTTGAACCTGCAGCTTTCTGATCCCAAGTCTGCCACTGTACCACCGCCGCTCCCTCCATGTACAATCCATCTAAAACTCTTTTATGATGCAGCAGTGAAAACACAATTCTCATCAACAAAATGTAACTGAAGACACTGTGGAAAGTGTGCACTGTAACATCAAAAACCTATTCTGGGAAAGGAAAATCTGAAAATGATCTGTATGTTTCATTTGCTTTGGCAGGGTGTGATTGGCTACGCAGTCATTTTAGTAGATTCCACCCTTGATTCTTTCTTTGACAGTCACAGCTGCTTATACCACTTAGCAGTGATTTTTAGTCAGTGGTTGTGCTAAAGGGCAGCACAGTGGCGCAACTGGTAGAGCTGCTGCCTCTCAGCGCACAGGTCCCTGGTTCAAACCCCGGTCCAGGGGCCCTTCTGGGTTTGCATGTTCTCTCCGTGCATGCGTGGGTTTTCTCTGGGTACTCCGGTTTCCTCCCACAGTCCAAAAACGTACATGTTAGGCTGATTGGTAACTCTAAATTGTCCCTAGGTGTGAGTGAGAGAGTGAATGTTTGTTTGTCTCGTTTGTCTCTATGTGTCCCTGTGATGGACTTGCGACCCATCCAGGGTGTACCCCGCCCCTCGCACAGTGATTGCTGGACATGGGCACCAGCGACCCCCGTGACCCAAAATGATGGGATAACTAAGTTATCCAACAGCATCTCCTTCAGCTATTTCGATACCGTCCAACCACTTGCCTCCACGCTCCACCTGAGCTCTCCTATCCTGGACCTGACTTACCTGGAATACTCAATTAGCGTTGAGAGGAGGGCAGAGTATTCCAGGTAAGTCAGGTCCAGGATAGGAGAGCTCAGGTGGAGCGTGGAGGCAAGTGGTTGGACGGTATCGAAATAGCTGAAGGAGATGCTGTTGGATAACTTAGTTATCCCATCATAGCTCATTTACTAAATAAGCCACACAGGAAGGAGAAGATTTTTCTTAACCCCTGATTTTATCTTGCAAGATGGAACAGCGTTAAAATACAAGAAGGCTAGATGTTTACATGTAGCTTCGTCTCCAAATCTGTTCATAAAGAGCATTAAGAAGTATTTTTAAAATTGTTATCAGACAGAGGTGAGGTCAGACATGCTCTCCAGCTTAGGGCCTTGAGTTTATCAGGTGAAAGGATCAGTGGTGGGGTGTAACTAAGTACAAATACTTTGCTACAACAGTACTTAAGTACATTTTTCATGTATCTGTACTTTAATTAAGTAGAGTTAAATGTGGGTACTTTTTACTTTTACTCCACTACATTTTACATCAAGTATCTGTACTTTCTACTACACTACATTTCTATAATGTGTTGCATTACAAGTTACTTTCTTGTTGCGGCTTTTTGATTTGTTTGTTACTTTGAAAGTAACTAATGGTGGGAGGGGAGTTGGTCCATTGAATCACTGCAAAGTGGGCAGGTAACGTTAGGCCCGCCTTCAAGAAGAGCTGGACCAATGACATATATTCTAGTATATGTGTCACTGAGCTGGGTGCACCCGTAGCACCACTAACACACCCAAAATGTATTCCACAGCAAGAGAGTCACCCAGAATATATGCACCACCAATGACCTTATTGAAAGACTGCTCAGTACAACAGGACAGATTCTCTCTCCCAAAAGAGCCAGATTGAACTAAAACATATTTGAAAACCAACTTCTTCTGAACTTGAACAAGAAATTCTTGCTGCAATATTAAATGTGTCAGTTCATGATGTTAGGAGACAAGAGGTGTCTCCAAATGTCTCGACACTCGGGTCCAAGTTTTAAAAATGGTGTCAGGAAGTTAAAATATTGTTCAATATTGACCCATTACAAGGTTGAATAGACAGTATTTTAACTAGAGTTGAAGACAAACTGGAGTTGAAATATCAGTTGAAATGATCAGAGCCTGTTCCTTTGTTAGGTCTAATGCCCCTTTTGTTCAGGCAGACAACTTTTACTAAAATGTATTTACTGCAGTTAAAATGACACATTGGTTTTGCTTTGTGTTAAATAAAAACTTTCTCAGGTATAATCATTCCTCTCTTATTTTGCTTAATGACATTTAACTCTGCATGTCATCCCTGAAATTCTGACGCACAGAATCACAAATCCAAGTGTGAACGGTGTCACAGAGTAAACACAATAAAAACATGTATTATCTGCAGCATTGATCATTAAAATGGAACAACACTGTTAATGTATTACAGAAAATATACATATGGTACGCAGACTTAATGATATGTAGACCATTGCATTAGGTAATACATTCAGCAAGTACGCTTACTTTTAATACTTTAAATATTTTAAAAGCAAGTACTTATTTACTTTTACTTAAGTAAAAATGTTAATGTGATACTTCTACTTTTACTAGAGTACATTTTTGTCTGTTTATTTGTACTTTTACTTAAGTACAGTGTTTGAGTACTTTCTCCACCACTGGAAAGGATCCATGCTTCTGCAGCTCCACTCTGTCCAGAAAAAAACCCAAAAAACAGCTCTAACACATGCACACATGGTTCATATACATGTGTCATTGATATGTGAAAACATCTGTGACCTTTCACATCTCCATCAGATCCACAAGGAGGTACAGAGATCCACAGGTAGGTACAAGAGTCAAGGATTTGGACAAGTGACCCCGGACTGGAGGCTAAGGAAACAGGTTCTAGAACACAAAGTATTACTTTAGTTTTAGATTTAGCACAAGCAGGCTGATAGCACAAATTCCAGTAGGTAAGTAGTGCTCCAGCAGTGAAGGGAGCTCTTCTGCAGCTTCTTAGGTCGTTTTCACAACAGATAGTCTGGTAGACTCGGTTCGGTTCGGGACCAATATTCATGACCTTTTGTTTACATTTGAGCTGGTGCGTTTGCATTCACACTGCACTGTGCAGTCGAGTCAACCTGTTGAACCAACCTGTTCCCCCGATCGCCTGTGGGGGCGCTGCACCAAGAGCTACTGAAAGAAACGACACAAAAACCTCTGGAGCCACTTCTTCTTCTGTAAATAAAAATAAAAACGAAGTGGCATCAAGTTTTAGCAGTTTTAGGAGTTATATTTTGTCATTTTTCAAAAATGGACTTAGCATGAGCAGAAGATGAGGTAGAAGACCATGGAGAATATTGTTTTTCCACACAAGTCAGCTGACAGCTCCATATAAGGTAAGAGAAATGCGTGTTTGTTTACCCTGCGGAGCGGGGCTCGGTCTGTTTACATTCACACTGTACTCGAACTGCGCTGGAATTCGCTTCTACCGG